GGTTGCTGTGAGCTGTGATGCAACGGCACTCTACTGAGGGTGACAAAGCGAGACTCTGTCTCTAAAAAAAAATCAAATTGTGTTATCTCTCTTCCCTATGACTCTGCCTGGGGCTTTATAAATCTCCTTCCCCAGGGCCTGGACACTATTATTCCAAGGTATTTCCCAGATTCTGAAAATTGTCACAAGCTAGAAATGTTTTCTGCTGCACTCAGCTGCCCATGGGCCTTGAAGCTGACCAGGAATAGCCTGAGTTTGCTGTGTTGGGCACTGTGGGTTGCACACCACACTTGAGGCTATCGCCCAGAAACCCAGCTTAACCCCCGCGGCAGACCTCGTATCATCCTGAGTTCCTCTGTCTCTCTGTTGCTGAGATTGAGCCTATGTTGCAATTATTTCCTTCCTCCCTCCTTTGTCTGCCCTTCTTTTATCCCTTTGCCCTTCCTTCTTACCGTCAACATTTGGAGGACATCTGTTTGGGGGTCTGTGGAAAGGATAACTGCTCCTAAGCACTGCTGTCCTCTGTGTGTGAGCTCAATAATTTGCTTCGTAAATGAGCTCTTTGCTCCTTAGACTGTTTGCTGCTGGTCTGGTCTCCCCATCAGTCTGGTTGCTAAATATGCACGTCTCAGTCTGTGCTTGTCCTGCCCAGAGATTTCTGACTGGCATCTGCTCTCAGCCATTCAGAGTTATCTAGAAATCAGCAGGGACAGCCTTCGAAATCATCCCCATTTCTTCACTCCATCACCTGTATGGACAAGGCACACATCTCCTCTTGGTAAGAAGAGCCTACGACAGTCCCATCTAAGGTGCCAGGTTAGGGAGTTTCTCCTCCATCATTTACCTATGTACTTACTGACCCACTCAGAGTTAAAGTCTCTTCTCGATCCCATCTCTCTCTCTCTCTCTCTCTCTGCAAAAAGAAAAGTTTGGTTTTGCTTTAATTAAAAAGGTAATATTTTGGTGAAATTGAAAATTAAGAATGTAAAAGCCACTATAAATAAATTTTACTAATATTTTCTTCCATATTTTTTCTTGTATGAGTGCAATACATAAACACACACCTTCTCCAACACACACACACACAGTGTATAGAACAGATAATGTATCGTGCAGCTCCTATAAGCAAGGATTTGTATTAGGGATTTTACATCCATTTGATCCCCACAAACTCTATGAGCTCATCTGAGTATCGTTTTGATTTTTTTCTGCAGCCATCATACCTCCTTTACCTGCCTTGTGATCCCACCTAGGGTCTGGGGTCTAAGTGAGGCAGCCAGTCTAGGAACTCTGTCTTCTTCTGTCAAAGGGTTAGACGCAAATCCCAAGCTAGACCAGTCAGATGATCTTTCCAGAATTATCTTGAACAGAATGAGAGAGCCATTTTATCTTACTCATCTGGGTGGTGTGTCCTATAGTCTTTGCTATCGAGATCCAACTAGCTGTTCTGGAACCTTTCCTTTACTATGATGGGTTCTTCAGCTCTTCTTCTGAATAGGTGAACTTTCTCATATCCTTACAACAACTTTCTTTTTTTAAAGTCATCCAGATTTTGTTTCTCCTATTTACTACCTCCAAATTCCTAACCAACACAGAAATACACAGAAATATGATAGCATTATCCTAGTTGACCTAAGTTAATGAAACTGAGGCTTAAGGAAATTGAATAACTTGCCCAAGATCGTCCAGGCAATAAGAAGTGGTACCAGGACTCTATAATCCTAACCTCTGTGCTTCATTTTAACCAACTCTATGTCAATCTTTCTCTGTATAGAGAGATATGAGGTATGGATATGTGTGTACATTCTTATATATTTTTTCCCACAGTTGAGATCCTACAATATTCACAGTTCTAATACTTTTTAGCTTAAAGATTTATAGCTTATAAAATTAACATTTTATAGCTTATAGTAGCTGCTCGATACACTGTTCTATACACTGGGTTTGTGTGTGTTGGAGAGTGATATATATTTTCCCACAGTTGAGATCCTACAATATTCACAGTTCTAATACTTTTTAGCTTAAAGATTTATAGCTTATGAAATTAACATTTTATAGCTTATAGTAGCTGCTCGATACACTGTTCTATACGCTGTGTTTGTGTGTGTTGGAGAGTGTGTGTATGTGTGCACTCAGACAATAAAATATCTGGAAGAAAATATTAGTAAAATATTGGAAGCTAAAGGGACCCCATTGTTCCAGCATCTAGACTCTACCATCAAAATTAACATTTTAGTATACAACCTTTTGCTTTCTCTGTGTATGTGCAATATAAATCACATACCCATGCACACCCACATTTATGTATCTGTTGAGACCCAGGCTCTGTGTGGAGATTGTTATCATCACTTTTCTCTCTTAACATTATTTTTAAAGCATTTTCCTGAGTAATTAAACTCCTTTCAAAGTATTTTGATGGCTACATTTCATTATGTGAATATACCTAAATACATTTAATCACTCTTCTTTCAGACATTGAATAGCTATATCTTTTCTTTTTTTGCATTGATAAATAGCACTGCAATCAACAACTTTGTTGGCATATGACTGTTTTCTTAAAATAGATTCTGAAAGCAAAATTATTGTCTTACGGGCTTTGAAAATTTTAAAGTCTCTTGATATACATTGTCAAAAAATTTTCAGAAACATTACATGCCTATCCTCCAACTAGTGTTGAAAAGCTAGTTTCATTCAACTCTCCAAACGTGGCTGTTGACTTCTAAAAAATTAAGGCCAATTATTGGAAATGATAGCCCATGTTGTATTTGGCATGTCTACTAATGTCTTTTTTCCTGATTATAAAGCAATACAAGCTAATTGTAGAAAGAACAGAAAATAATCACTTATCATCAATATCTAGACAAAATAGTAATTTGATTACTCCTTTTCGTCTTGCTGTGTACATGTTAAAATACATAAATAATATCTATATTGTTGAGGTCATATAGCGATACTGTTACCGAAACATTTTCACTTCACTGAGTTGTCAAATATTCTCTAAAACATTATTGTTATTAGTTGCTGAATATCTATTTTATGGATCTGCTATAATGTCTTTAACCTTCTTGCTTACTGGACATGTATTCATCAACTACACAATTGATAAATACATCATCACTGCAATACATACCACTGTTCAAAGCCTTTGCATTTTTGATGATTTCAGTAGAAGTTATGACCTGAAGTGGAATTGCTCCTTTAAATGATATGGATATTTTAAAGTTTCCTGATAAATATTTGTCAAGTTTTTTCTAAAATGCTTCTTCCAATTATGCATCAAAGTACATTTCAATCTTCTCCACATTCTTAATTGTTCCTTCTTAGTGATTCATGTTTTGTATTGTTCTTTTTATATTTGTTTAAAATATTTGTATTTCTTGTATTCTGAACTCATCATATCCCTCACACATTTCCCTTTGGCTAGTATCACAAAATGAAGTGGGCATGTTTTCCTGAGGATTTACTCTCCACAGAGCTCAGAAACATAACTCAGTTGCCCCCAAGTCACTCTCATTAAACGTTTTGAGTAATTCATTCACCACTGGCTTTCAGTGATAAATTTGTTATCATATGTTTCTCAGTATCTGTGGTTACAGGATGCTATATTTGCAAAGTTTAAAATTTGCAATTAATATTACATTTACAATGTACTTTTATATCTTAACTACAATGATTGCAGAGATGTGCAAGTTGGGGTCCACTGGAGAACAACCAGTGGGAAATGAAAGTCAAGATTCAGACCAGGTTCTCAATTTCCAAGTCTTGTAGTTTTCATTAAGACACTTTACCAGTATTCCTGGTGTCAGCAATATAAAGTGACTCCAGAGGTGTTAAGAAAATTCTGAAGTAATGTTCAGAGATCCAAAAGCAAATGCCTGTACTGTATTTTTAGCATGAGACTGACATCCCTTTGGGGGCCTTTAATTGCAGTGGTCCATCAGTTTTTATTTTTCAATGTCTAAATATAAAAACGCAGTGATACTTTAAAAAACCAGGTGCACTTTTACTCATGAATTGTTGAGTTTATGAATGACAGAAGTTAACAAGACTTCAGAATATTTTCGCCTGTTTAATGACCTAAGCCATCTATTAGTACCTTGGAGAGCTTCCAATTTTATATCCTCTCCCTCTTCCCAACATCTCCAGAAAAGACAGATTTTCTACTGCCAAAGAAAATGGGTACATTGATATCTTCCAAGTTTTTTGAAAACAAACATATCATTTCATTTTTCATTTTGCTACCTGAAATGGCTTTCTCCTTTTGCCCCATTAAAAATAAAATTGCCCATGATCCGTGATTCCGCGAGAGCTTATTTGATTCGACGAGAATTAAGGTATTTTCTTTTCCTCAGGACACAAGTTTCTTTGCCACGTCTGCAAATTCAAACGCCTCTTTACGATGAGCGTCTAGGAGAAAAACCAGCTTTTCCTCGAGTGGTTTTAATTCATGGGTACGATCTATTTCTGAAGACAATGTGGAAGCAGAACCTGGGTCTCCACAGGTGTAGGCAGGAGGCGGGAAGACTCCGGAGCCGGGGTAGGATCCTGCCGCCCCTGCTGCCCTTTATCGCTCTTGGGGCTGTAGGAAGCTTCAGCCTTGCTAATCCCCGCCGCGCAAGCGCGCTCGCCTTCTCCGCCCGTACCCTCCTACCCGCTCCCTCACTGCACCTGCCAGGTCATAAACCCACCCTCGCTCTCTCCCGGAGGAGCGGGCTTGTCTCACCTTGATTGGTCGGAGCCCACGAGGGCTCGTCCAATCAGTCATCGCTCCTGAGCAACCTACTCCCGCTCTTCCCGCCCACGCCCCGCCCAGCCCGCCCCTTCATTACCTAGCTGCTTTGTGACTGGTGCGCGCCCAAGTCACTCAGCGGGGCGAGGTGTGCAGGAGTGGGAAGGAGGGGCGAGAAGAGAGGCGGGGAAAGGAGGGGATGGGAGGGAAGGGAGGAGGCGGGGCTCAGGTGCCGAGCAGCCGAGTCCCGGCTCAGACGGGGGAGGGGGCAAACCCGGGAGGGAGGCGGGGGAGTGTGGGAGGGGGTGACGCCGGCGACGTCGGCTGCGCGAGGTTCCGCGCGTGAGCGGCGCCGGCGCTGGGCCTGGCCACCGAGCTTTCCCCGCGGGCTAGCAGGTCTCGACGCCGGCTCCTGGAGCAGCGCGGGCAGGAGGGAGGTGTAGGTGTCAGCGGTGTAGTCGACGGCTGCTCCGGCCATGGAGGAGACGCAGCCGCTGCCACAGCCTGAGCTGTCGCTGTGCGACAGCCTCATGATCTGGGTGAGTGCGAGGGGGCGAGGGGCCGAGGCGAGGAGCCCAAGGCTCCCGGTTCTCTCTAGGTGAGCCCGAGGAGGACCTGGGGCCACCTGCGTGGGGGTCCCTCCGCGCCCTGCCCTCTGGGCCTCGGGTCGCCCTTGACCGCGAGAGTGCCACCTGCGGGTCGCGCGCGGGGCAGGTGTGTGCGGGGGTGGGCGGTGAGGGTGGAGGATCTGGTCCTACCCAGGAGGATTCACCAGTCGGTGTCCCTAAGAGATGTGGCAAGAACCAAGTGCCCATCCCCTTTCCTCCCCTCCTGCCCCATTTTCTCCCCTTCTCAGGCGCTCCAAGCCCTGGACTTTCTGGACCGCATACTCTCTTGCCATCTGTCCTCTTGGGAGTGAAGATCCTATCCAAAACCTGGCCCTCCACCTCCAACCCCCTTGCTTTACTTGGACGCGGGTGTCCAGGAGGTGGCTGGCTGTTTGAGTTCCCGGATCAATGCAACTCTGAGACATCCAATTTTGTAGAAGCCGCTTGGAAGGGATGTTTCCCCACATTTCCTGTGTGGAGAGAGAGATATGTTGGGAGTGTGAGCTTGTTTTTTTCTTCTTCCTCGCTCCCCACCACATTTTTTTCTTTAAAGAAAAAGACTTGGCATTTTCATTTATGCTTTATTTATATTTAGGATATCTGTTAATTTGTGATAGGTTTTGGACAAGCAGGTCTAGTCCCCAGATTTTTCAGTCTTCCAGTCAGCAAAATGACACTGTGCCTTTGGAGTTGCTTAGGTACCGGAAAGCTGGCATTCAGGTGTGGTTCCTAACTCTGTTGGGCAAGGGTGGACTGGATGGTCCACAGAGTGCTGCTGATGCCTGTCCCCAAACCGGTTGTTTAATTGTGTGTAGGGGAGTGTGCGGAATAGAATGTAAACAGACTAGATCAGGAGGCTTAATCAGTTGATGATATTCCCTAGAAACCTCCTAATGCATCTAATTCCAAAGCATGAGAAATCTGGAAGGTTTATTGAAATAACCATAATTTAAAGCAACGTTTTGCACGTTGAAAATAACTTTTGCTTCAGTTGGAATGCAGATATCTAGGGTTTCCGAGTTAAAAGCAATTAGCTAACTGTTCAGCTGTGTTTTTGTTTGAACTAGGTATTTAGGTGTGGATCCTGTATTTAAGACTGTCACAAAACAAGGCAACATTTAATGATTTGTTTTTTTAAAAACAAGTGATTAAATTAAGGGGTGTATCGTAATCTGTTACACTGTTGTTCCAAACATCATCTGACTGACTGAAGCGTCAACTTACTCTTTATGATGTCATTGACTTATATGTGAGTTGATGGAGCACTGGATTGTCTTGGGTGGTAGTGCAGTGTTTTAAATACTGTCTGACTATTTAATTAGAATTTATTGATTTACAGCTTAGTGCTGAAGAAGACAGTGGCGTGGAAGGCAGAGTTGTGTATAATTATAGTGGAAGGCAATTTTTTTAAATCCGCAAAAATATTATGAATCAAATGACATGGACTCATAGATGACAGAGTAAAATTGGTTGTTGGCTTCTCCAGCCATTTCTAGTATACTTTTTATATGCTTCTCTTTACTATGTTGCTTAATATTCTGTACCTCTGAAATTGTCCTTATAAAATCACTAATCATACACATTCTATAAAAGGTTAATAATACAACTTTTAAGTCACACATTAAAGTTAATGTGTATGTCGGAAAGTTTGAAAAGTAGGAACCGCAGCTTGTTTTTCTTTAGAAGATGCTCTAATCCCTTTTCTTTGAATGTCCACACAATTTTAAGGTCTTTCCTAGTTTATATTTTAAATATTCTGTGGATTTATCATGTCCTCTCAGCCTGTATCATGCTAATTACTTCTCAGCTATCTAAAGGACCATTGCAGGAGCCATTTAACTGGCTCCCCGACTCAAGCATAAAGCAACCTTATGTCACATGCTACTCTGCAAAGCAGACTAAAGATGCCATTCTCTGCCTTATTATTCCCCGGGGATTCTCCTTCCTCCTGAGCAGTGGTTCTCAAAAATTGACATGCATCAGAATCACTTGGGGTTTTTTTTTGCTTAATGTGTCTGGAGATTCTGATCTGTATTGGTCCTAGACCCGACACTGTGACAACCCCTGCCTCGTAGCTGATGTGGCAGCCCCTGTTCTAAGTACATTTGCTGTTTCACTGTACACTCCCAGCACTCTCGTGAGGTAGGACTTCTCACTTTTTCCCATTCTATAGACAGTGCCATTAACAATAACACACATCTGAATTTCTTGTCACAGCCCTTTAGACCCCAGCCTGTCTGGTCACCTCCCTTGACCGGCACCCTCCCCCATCACTCTTTGCACTGCAAATCTGGGGTTACTGAACCACAGGTTCCCTAAAAATACCATCTCGAGTATCTGTACTGTTACATCTCTGAAGCTTTCTTCCCCTGGTTCTTTACTTAGAATACTTAGAAAATATGCTTCTCATCCCTCAAGATCTTCTTCTATGCAGGAATCATCTCCAAGAATTCTCTCCTGAATACAAACCCTAATTAAATTAGTTGCCTTGTCTGGAAATGATTTGTGTCTTTTTCTTCTCTCAACTCTTGATTGAAGCTACTCTGAGGGTAGAAACCTGGTGATTTTCCTTGGGAACCCCGTCCTACACCACAGGGCCCCACATAGGGAGGATCTCTGCGTACTTTGAGAGTAACTGTGGCTCGAATTAGTTTGCCTGTGGCCTTCTTCTGTGTTGGATTAGATAATAGAGACAGATTTCTAGGATCTCAAAATACACAGAACCACTAAAAGTGAATTATGGTGGGAGAGAATTTTATTGGATTAAGGTAAGTGGTGAAGTGAGGAATTGTCGGTGAATAGTGAAGGAGATGGATCTGTGTGGGGGAAAAGAGCCACGGTCTGTGGGATTTAATTTAAGATCCTCACGGGTTGAGATTAGATTTCTAGAAAGTATGTGATCCTGTGATCTGTTTTAGCTCTGTTGTAATTTGCTTTCTAAAAATTGTTCTTTCTTGCATTTGCTTCTTGAAAAGAGATGCCACAGGCCAGACACCAGTGGCTCGTGCCTGTAATCCCAGCACTCTGCTGGGCCAAGACAGGTGGATCACTTGACTTTGGGAGGTTGAGACCAGCCTGAGCAAGAGCAAGACCATGTCTCTATTAAAATGGGAAAAATTAGCTCAGTGTTGTGACAGGCACCTGTAGTCCCAGCTACCGGGGGGCTGAGACTAGAGGATCCCTTGAGCTCAAGTGTTTGAGGTTGATGACATCATGGCACTCTACCTAGGGTGGCAGAGCAAGACTCTTTCTCCAAAAAAAAAAAAAGAGAGAAAGAAAATATAAGATGCCACTATATTTACCTGGCAGGGGAGATACCATGATCACAAAGGTGGTTTTCTCAAGGCAAGGCTGATCCCTTGAACTCTGGATGTGCTGACCCCCGCAACTTCCCCAAGTATAGAAAACTCGGCTGAGTAACTTGAGGTAGTCGGGGACTATGTTTTTGCTTTTCCCTAAAAAATAAATAAAAGGTGCCACCATTCCACTTCTTTTTGTAATGTGTATGTGAATGTGTAATGAATAGCGATGTGACAAGTTAGTAATATCTAAAGCCAACTTTAGGTAGAAACAGCCTGACTTGATGAGTGGGCCTGACCTGTCATGCTTTAAGGTAACTGTTAGAGAGTTAGAAGTTTTGTCTCATTTCAGAGCCTACAGATAAATCGTAAGCCATTTAGAATTAATATTTCTAGCCTGTGTTTTCCCATTAGATGATATGAGGGAAATTTTAACTTGTAGATGTTGGGTTATCCTAAAGTTGCTTTTGTGACGCTCTGCTAAAAACAGGGAACACAAGACGAGAGGCATGAACGGGGATTTGTATTATTGAGAATTTCTGCATTCCCTTTGTATGTGGCCTCAGTGTGTTTTTACTGTCTTAGGGGTGATTATAGGAAATGTGAAGAGTTTCTTCTTATAAAAATATTACACAGCTATGGAAATTTGTGAATATAGTTTCATTTGTTTGACAGTGTTTGCATTTAAGCAGAATGGCACCCTGTGGGCATCAGAGGCAGTGAGGTCCTTCTCTTTATGTCATTTTAGCTGCAGACGTTTGAGACTGCCTCGCCCTGTCAAGATGTCAAACAGCTGACCAGTGGAGTCGCCATGGCACAAGTTCTTCATCAAATGTGAGTAGGATTCAGACTCGGCCTGAAAAGAATTGCAAACCCATTACTAAGGAAGGAAATTTAGACTTGAATTCTAAAGGCCATTGAAACTGTTTCCTATTCAGTGGCATATGCAGGTGTATGGTACGGGGGCATTTTTATAATTGGGAAACAGAAAATTTACTCCTTGCTTGTTCCCAGAGATGCATCTTAAGTGAATGTTCAGGGGATTCTTATTTATTCAAGAGATTTCACACTTAAAACTTGTTCTGGGCATGTTCACAGGATTATAACTGTGATCTAATTCAGCGGTTCTCAACTGTGGGTGACCCACAGGTACCGTATTAAAGGGCTGCGGTATTAGGAAGTTTGAGAACCACTGATCTGATTGCTTATGATGGTTCATTCGGTTGTACTGGAGATCATCTTAGAGATTGCTGCAACATCAAACACGGAATTTGGAAAGAAATATAAATTATTATGTTTGAAATCTATTTCTGAATTAGTTATAGTAATATATGAGTTCACCAGTAGTGAAAGGAGGAATGAGTGAAATTTGAAGGCACAGATGCTAGGCAGCCTTAACTGATAATGTGATTCTGTTTGAACTAAACCATTTTACATAATTGCATAATATCAAAAGTTGTCTTGGGTCCACACAGCAAATAGGCAAACACTAAAGAAAGCTGATTAGCAAACAAAATGGTCTGTGCATACGTCTCATAATATCTGACCCCACAGATAAGCAAAAAAAGTCCTCACAAAATTAGCCTGTGAATCATGGACAGCAGCTTGGATGCCCCAGTCTGCAGTATGAACCCTTAAGGGACAAACAGAACCAATTCTAGACTCATAGAATATAATATAGACTTTATATTAGCTTGCCTCAAGGCGAGAATCCTGTCTCTGCTGCTTTTGTTTATAGTCAATGATTATTTATTTGTTATTGTCATCTTGCCAAGGTTTGCTGTGATTTGACATTGAAAACTTTGCAGATGGGTTAGCAAAAATCCTATGCCTTTCTTAGAAAAACCACTTAAAATGATATAAAGATTCTAGTTATTTGGAATCATCAAAATGATCTACTATGATAGACAGACTTTATGGTTAACTCATGATAAACACATTGGAAGGCAAGCTTCCCACGTTAACTTTTGAAAGGGCCGTCATTCAAAAGTGCCTTACTCCTGTGTGTGGATTGACTTTAATATGATTTTATCAATCGGAGCCAAGCATTCTGAACGTAGGTTATTTTCTCTGATGACCTGGGAATGTCATCATTGTTTTTGTCCTTAGAAGGTGCCCCTGACTTCCCTTTGCCGTTATGTTGTGGGTGTGGGTGTGGAAGAGCCTGCATTGTGGTTGGTGTGAGTGTGAAGCTGGTGTGTGTTCACTCAGGTCGGCAGTCCCACCCAAAGATGTCATTTCTGTATGTTCTGGTGGCTTTAGTGGCTTTATGCCACAATACAGTGAAAGAGAGTTTTTTTTTACCGAGATAAGAGAGTTTTTTTTTTTACCGTGATGTGATGCATGTGGCTCTTTGGTCCTCGCTCTCTGCTTTTTCCTGTTTTGTTCTCTGTTTTATCTCATATTGTCTTCTAATACCTTTTCTATGGGAAAAATAAGCCATTTAGAAATCTCTCTATCTTTGTTAAACACATGGCCAGTGGCCTAAAATTGGGCCAGCCTGAATCACTCTCACTCTTTTTTCCCCCCTTTATTTGCCTGTTTTTGACACGTCCTCAGGGTCTGTGCCGCCTCATCACTGAAGAGGCATTTCCTTTTTTTAAAAAATTCCAGACTGTTAGGGGTACACATGTTTTCTTTAAGTATTTTTTTGTACAAATTGGGCTGCAGCTGTTCACACAGGGCTGCCCTTCTCCAGCCCGTGTACACTGTACTTGATACGCATCCCCAGCGCTCCCCTTCTGCCCCGCTGGACTTTCACTTAACTTGATTTTCTTTTACAATCTCTCTCAGTTTTGGATTTTTCCGAAGTCTGGATCCTGGACAGTGAGAGCTCAAAGTGTAACGTTCCTTTAGTTGTGCCAGCATATCAGATTCCTGTTAAAAGGGCACATTTTAAAATATTTCTTTGAACATTTCACAGCACTTTACATATGTTACAAGTTCTGATATATCGCACCGATGACTGCTGTGGCTGACATCACATCACATTAAAGATGTTACTGGAGATGAGAAGGGAGATTGTGCTTTTCATGGATGTAGTAAAATTTAATAATAATTCTGTTCTCACTCACCTAGGGGAAGAGAGGCTTTGAAGGAATAAAATCGTTAAACGTGATCTCCCTACTCTATAACTTAGACAGGGGAGTCATGTTATTGCCAGGGTTCTGCACTTCCTGAATTATCACCTTTAGTTTGATTATGTAACATGTGCCTCTCTTTTTCAAATGCATGCCAAAGCTACTTTAAAAACTACATGGGTAAAATTATAACCACACCTGTACTGGGTTTCTAGGGCCACCATAGCAAAGTACCACAGCCCACGTGGCTTAAACAACAGAAATTAATTCTGTCACAGTTCTGGAGGCTGGAAGTCCAAAATCAAGGTATTAGCTGGGCCGTGATCCCTCC